TCTAGGGACCACGGCCCAGGGCCACAGCATCACCGCGAGCCCTCGGTTCTCATCACCCCAGCGCCAGGTTAAGCAGAAGTGGGAAGAACCACTTGTTACCTGGGCCCCAAAGTAGCACTGTTATGTTCTGAGTCCCACATGCTGTCCTGTGACGGGGTTCCCTGAGCCTCCAACTACCATTCTCTGTGTCTCTGTCTGTGTCTCTCTTTCCAAGGCTCAAATCAGGTCTGGTCAGGGCTCAAACAAATGCAACCTGCTAATTCCCTGCACTTCGATGGGCCGCTCATCTCTATCCACAGGATCTGGACCCCAAATTAAATCCTTATAGGTCCAATCTCCTCAAATCTGCCAGCTCATGAAAAATGACACTGGGTGCAAGTGAGGGTGAGGGTGAAGGTGGGGTGGACAGGTCCGCTGACCAGTAGAGGGCGACTCTGACTCCACTAAACAAGCAAACAAGCACCACTGCTAAATGGCCAACCACATAGCTTTGATTAAATATATTAGGGTTTACTCATATAATGGAATACTGTACAACCTTTGTAAAAATGCTTTATGGTATGGGAAAATAATATAATATTCTGCTACATTAAAAAGCGAGAGATTTCTTTCCGGTCTCATGCCACAGCACCGATGAATCTTGGGGACAGTGTGCCAAGTGAAATAAGCCAGGCACAAAAGGACAAATACTGTTTGATTCCATTTCCATGAGGTATCTAAAATAGGCGCACAGAAACGGGAAGTGGCACGGCGGCTGCCAGGGGCTGGGAGGAGGGGGGATGGGGAGGGACTTGTTTAGTGGGCAGAGTTTCAGTTTTGCCATCTGAAAAAGTTCTAGAAAGCTGCCGAATCTAGTTAGCGCTACTGAACTGTCGAATCTAGTTAACGCTACTGAACTGTACTCTTAAGAATGGTTAAGGTGGTAAAAAGAATTTTTTAAAGCAAGAGATTTTTTTTCAAACCCAACAACAGACAACAGTAAAGCCCAAGGTTCTCTAGCTATTGCTTCAGGTGGTAGGCATGTGACACTGAACAGTCCTTGCCCCCGATCACGGGGAGCTCACGCTCTGGTGGGGAGCCTAGTTAATGGAGAAGGCCCGCGAATAAATGTAAAACCGCAGAGAGAGGAATTGCTCGCAAGGAGCCACGCACTGTGCTCTGAGAGGGTCATGTCCCGGCACTGACCTCGCCAGGAGGCAGGGAGGGGAGCTAAGGGGACCGGAGGGGAGGCGAGGGCCCTGGAAATGAGTCCCCCGCAAGGGGACAGCTCACTGGCAGGTGGGGACTGAGGGCTGGGCCTGCGTCTTGCTCCTTGCCAGCGGTGTCCTCCTGGCGGTGGCTTCTCTTTGAGCCTCACTCTGCTCCTGCACTTCTCTGGGCCCAACTTTTCCAGGGTGAGCCGGGAGGGTTGTGCAGGAGGAAAAGGCACGAAGCATCGACCTTGCCGCACAGACGGGCGGCAGCGCTCTTTATTTATTTATGTTTCTCCTTGTTTCAAGGAGAATTTCAAGCTGCTTACAATTATGTTAGCGATATAGCGGCTCAAAGACCTGGTCACTAGGTAAGAAAACCGAGGTGGAGGGAAAACAAAGCTCAAAGAGTCGCAGGAGGAAGGAGCAGGTGTCCCCTTATTCATAGGGACCAACGCTGTCATCCTCCTCAAGTCCCCTCCTGCCATTAATCCAAATATTGACCCTTAATGGTCCTGTTTTTATACTTTGTCTTCTCAACTCTATGAACCACCTTTCATTGTGATTTCCTCTGCCCTTTATTACTCTCTCTCCCTTAAATATATCTGTTTATTTTTTTCCACTGTGTCCGTTTTGCAGTTTAAAAAAATCCATCCTTCCTTCCCCCCAGGGAAGAGGCCACACCTGACCCCCCTCAGCACAGTGACATATTCCGAGCCTCGCACAGTAGGTCCTCAGGTGTTTGTGAATGACTGAGGGCCACTCGCTCCCACTCCCCGTGGCACTCAGCCACCGAAACAGCCTCAGCAGGGCTCAGGACACAGTTGCCAATTTGATTTATGGGACTTATTATCCCAAGTGGCGGCAGAGAATAGGTATTGATTCAAAGGGGTTTAAATAAATAAGTGGGTGCACAATCCAGAAAGGGCTGTGGACTGAGGAGAGGGGGTTTGTCAAGTAGCTGAAGCAGATATCAGAAAGGAACTCAGGCCCTCTCGGGAACCTCGGGAGGGGAGTCAGGGGGGACAGGGATGGGCGGTGGAGTCAGCAAGCTCAGGGTCACATCCAGGTCCCATCACATCACTTGCCAGGAGAGTGACCTTGGGCAAATAGCAGAAACAAGACAACCTCTTGTGAGGATGCTGAGGAGCGAATGTGCTTGTATTTGTATTTGTGTGTGTGTGTGTGTGTGTGTGTGTGTGCACATGTATGTGCATGCATGAGTATGCTGGGAAAGAAAGCAGAGCGGATGGCTGGTCTCTGCTCCTTGACGTCTGAGGCCTCAGTGTGGGGACTGGAAATCTGCAGGCTCCCCCCCTCACGGGTCTGGTGGGAGAGGCTGGTTGTGGGCTGATTGCTGAGCTGGGGCCATTTGCTGGAACACCTACATGTAGCCTTTCGGCTTCTTCACAGTACAGGCTGGCTGCAAGGGAAGTGCCCCGGGGGAGAGTGCCCAGTGGAAGCTGCCCATTTATGACTTAGCCTCGGAAATCACCGTGTCACGTCCACCACCTTCCCTTGGCAAGGCAGTTACCAAGCTCTGCCCAGGCTTAGAGGGACAGCATTCAGATGCCCCCTCGTGATGGAGGAGGGTTGCTGTCACATTGAGAGAAGAGCACATGGGATGGGATGCCTGTTGGCGTGGCCATCTTTGGAAAATACAGTCTGCCCCCCTGTGACCTCTCTCTTATTCCTCTAACAGCACCGTGGGTCTAGGTATAATTATCTCTATTCTAGAGGTGGACAAACTGAGGCTCACAGTTGCCAAGTAACTTGCCTTGGGCAATTTAATTGACCACTCTGAGCCTCAGTTACCCACTCTATAAAATGGGTAGAAAAATCTCTTCCTGAATGGATTACTGTGAGCCTGTGGTACTTAAGCCCTTACAGGACTGTTGGAGGACTGAAGTCGGGGAAGGTGTTCTGTGAACTCGAACACCCCTTGTTAATGCAAAGCACCGATCTTTATTGTTGTAGCGTCATTATTTCCTTGCCCTCCACCTATAGCCACCTGTCACACACAGCCCCAAACCAGCCAGGAAGCCGGTTTTCATCCACAAGACTTCCAAAGCAAGGCTTGTCGAAGCATCTGCCCAAGCTAACTTCTTTGCAGCAGAAGAGCTCGTCTCCCCCTCCTCCCTCCCTACCAAGAGGAGAGGTACCTCAGGAAGAATGCTAATGTTGGTTTATAAATTCCAAGCGTGTAACCCTTACAAACTCATTCAGCTGATCAGGAGCAAGCAGCCCTTCGGTCGTACTTAACCCCGGCCTCTGCTGCCCTGTGCCTCGCTGGCTGGAGGGGCAGGAGGAAGTCTGGCTGTGTGCATGAGTCTGTGGGTCCCAGGAGGACTCTTCTGGCTCCTGAGTGGACCAGAACCATCCTTGGAAAACCACTCCTTGGGGGTCATTCCAGGCCCCGTGTCCCTCATTGTCAATCCACCTGCACGGTCTAAGGCCTTAAGAGACCTCTTTGCTGTGATGTCCATTAAACGGACAATTTACTCTCCTGTTAATGTGATTCAATTAGTAAAGGAGAAAGGGAAGGGACTTACTCGGGAGAGTGTCATCTCACGGCCCGCTGCGCCGGCCCGAGGACCGGGTCAGGTGGCAGGTGACTGTATGACCGAGGTGCACTTTGATGTCTCAGAGCAGAACGGGGCTCAGCAGGGACAGCCTGGCTTCGCAGTCTGGAAGAGACGGTCTTGAACCTGGCTCCGGCTCTTAGGGCAGGGTCCCCATGAACCTGTTACTTAAGCGCCTGAGGCTNCAGAGGTGCGCTTTGATGTCTCAGAGCAGAACCGGGCTCAGCAGGGACAGCCGGGCTTCGCAGTCTGGAAGAGACAGTCTTGAACCTGACTCTGGCTCTTAGGGCAGGGTCCCCATGAACCTGTTACTTAAGCGCCTGAGGCTCAGATTCAGCTCCTTTAACTCACTCTGTGTAAAGCGAGGACAGAGACATCATGTCTGACAGCTAGGAGAGGCCCAAAGTATCGGGTTTGTTTTTCTCTGATTTTTAACCCTTACGGCAACCACTTTACAGGCGAGGACACAGGGAGAGATCTAGAAGCATGTTTTGCCCGCAAATGCTGGTGCTCACTCGCCTTAACGGTGAGCACAAACCTCTGTCGCGACTCCGAACCACACTCGGACAGCCTCTGGGAGGCCACCTGACACCAGGCTATTCCCGCACCTGGCTGGCTAGAGGCAGCTGTGCAGCTAAGACTATCCCCTGCTTCTGCCTGGTTGGTCTTAAATAAAATATGTTTCTTTCGCCCTGCCCCAAATCTGCACCATCTAATCCTCATCACTAGCCTGATCAAAACAGGTTTCAAAAATCCCAAAAGCACAGATGAGAAAATAGAGACTCAGAGTGGTGCCATGACTCGCCCAGGGCCACACAGCATGCACGTGCCAAAGGCAGGAGGGTTTGGCTGCTCCTGTGGGGATATGCCAGCCTCCCAGTGGCTGACGAGTGCTCCCCCCTCTCCAGCTTCAACTCCTCCTTCCCCCATGTCAAAAAAAGAAACCATTTTCCGTTCCTGGTATCTCTGCCAGCTCAGAGAGACCAACAGGAGAAGTGTTTCTAAATACACAGGATGGTCTTTCCCGGCTTCCAGTTTTGCTCTGTGTGGCTGTTTGAAACCTGTTTCCCAGGAGACTCTGGAAATGCAGGTGCAGGGGCCTGGGTAGCAGACGCCACCCTCTGTCTTCCTCTGGGCTGGGTACCTGCTCTGAGTTTGTGCCCTGGGGCTGTGTGCTCAGACTTGACCATGTTTGGGCATGGAGGCTTATGCCAGATGGGGACCAAAGGCCGCTTCCCTGGAAACAGAGACGGGCTGGGAGCCCAAGCTTCCTGCTGGAGCTCAGGAGGCCCCTTTTGGGGTGGGGGCTGGGGGCCGGGCAGATAGAAAGTGTCTGCCTGCTGAAGACTCCAGGGCACCCAGGAGACTGTGAGTACTGTACCCAGAGCACTTGGGACTTGGTTTCTCCAAAGCCTAGGCTGGAGGGGAGAGGGGAAAGCTTCAGGAGGGAGGCTCACCGTGGGAACTCCTTCCCAGAGGGGCTGTGCACCAGGGTTCTGGGCTCCGGAGGGGCTGACGTTGGTGTCATTGGGGACCAAACCACTGGCATCTGGTGACCAGCTGGGAGGTGGGGGTTCTGTGGCCCAGTCACTCTATTAACTCAGAGCCCTGGCCCTCGGGTCACAGCCGCCAGAGCAGCAAGAGGGCTGCAGCCCAGAGATGAGCCCAGGGAAACTTACTCCCCTGTGACACTGTAATCTGTTAGAATATAGGGGAACCCCACTTCTCAGTGCCCTAAATGAGGGAGGAAAACTTGTTATTGGGTGTCATCCCTGTCAGTCATCTTGGAGGCAGTGACGGGTTATATTCTTGGCGCCTGATCCAGGGCTCTTCTCTTTAGACAGTGGAGGAAGAAGACAGCAGAGGAAGGGGGAGATGGGGAAAATGATCTCTGGGGATCCTTGAAACAGTCAATACATAGGAGGGAAGCCTAAGTAGAAAATAAAGCACTTCGCTGAAAAATTCCTGTGGACCTATGTCTCTCTCCTGGATACTCACTAATTTAGAATTTATAAAAAATAATGTGTTTATTACTTTAGGGACCTGGCAGGGAAAATACAATTCTTCCTGATATCTGGCTAAAATTTTCCCTAAAGCACGAGATTACAGAGAGAGGGACCCATGGCCCCGCTACGTGGTATCTTTGGCAGAAATGAACTATGGTTACCTTAATCAAACAAAACAAGTGTGCTAGTAGAACTCTGTGCAAGTAGATTTCTGTAGTTTGTGGTCATTTGTGAAGGCAGCAATAGGGAACTGACACAGCAGATAAACGAGCATAGCGAGCATAGCGGCGGGACATCCGAGACCTTACTCCCAGGAACCTTTGGGTACAAAGAAATGTACCCAAAGGTTAATGGGCAACTCACAGAACAGATGGGAAACCCCCACACGGGACAGAAGCCGGGCAGCTGTGTGGCTCCAGGTGTCTTACGGGTGATGAGTCGCCCCTGGGGGGTACAGTGCCCCAACAGCAGGGGGGGCGGGCCTCTGCGCGCTGGGTGAGGTGACCCCAGGAGGAGGAAAGAGGAAGGCTGCCAGCTACTTCCCAAGGTCTGCTTCGGCCCGCGGGGCTCAGGCCCCCTGATGAGAGCAGCTGCTGAGGCCACCCAGTGCCTCTGCCTTCACTTGAAGAGCGAGGTGGCCCTCAGAGGACCCTGAGTGGGAACCTCCAGCCAGCCCAGGGCCTGAGGCTGCCTGCTGGGGTCCTCCGCCTGCTGCCCCTGGCCGAGCTGGCAGAACTGTGGCTCCCCAGGTCTCTCTGGGACAGGTATCCTGGCAGTAAGTTCTCGGATGTCCCGCCTCTATGCTCCCTGAATTAGTTTATCTGCTGTGTCAGTTTCCTACTGCTGCTTTCACAAATGACCACAAACAACAGAAATCTACCTGCACACAATTCTGGAGGCCAGAAGCCCCAAATCAGCAAGATGCTGGCAGGGCTGTAATCACGGCGTCAGCAGGGCTGCACTCCCTCCAGAGGCGGGGGGACAATCCATGCTCCCTGCCTCCTCTGGCTTCTGGAGACCGCCTACAATCCCTGGCCTGTGGTGGCATCACTCCAGACTCTGCCTCCCTGGCCATGTTACCTTCCCCTCTTCCGTGTCTCATCTCCGTTTGCCTCCTTCTTGTAAGGACATTTAGGGTTTACACGGATAATTCAGGATAATCTCCCATCTCAAGATTTTAAAAGCCTTTGCCATGTCAGTAACAGTCACGGATTCCAAGGCTAAGAATATGGGCATCTTGGGGGCCATTAGTGAGCCTTGGATAAGCCACTTTGGCTCTCAGAGCCTCAGATCCTTCATCTGTAAAGTGGGGGTGATAATACTCCCCCCTCAGAGCTGGCAGGAGGCTTACATGGGGCCCGAAGAGCCCTCTGAAGTTGTAAAGCTCCATATAAATATAGGGGTGATATTAATATTTGAGTACCCTCCCCTCCCTTCGGTGGATTAATTGTCACCTGAGCTGATCTCATGTCTGTGTGACTCTGTGGCCCTAGAAATGACTGCTGTCCTGGGCAGACATGGGGAAGAAGCTGGTGATGGCCCAGAAGCGGGGAGAGACTCGAGCCCTCTGCCTGGGAGCGGCCATGGTGGTGTGTGCTGTCATTGCCTACTATGTCCTGGGCACGACCATGCTGCCCCTCTACCAGAAAAGGTACCCGACCCTCCTGGCCCGGCCCCATCCTCCAGCCTCTCCCCTAAGGGTCTGGTCTGCGAGGAACCCCAGACTTCTTCCTACCCTTCCCCTTGGCCCTCACACCAGGCAGGAAGCTCTGGACAATCCTCATTCTTAGAGTCAAGGATTCAAGTGCAGGGAGGGTAGGCCCGACTGGGCCCTGACGGTCTGGAATTCTGGGACTTGCAGGTAACAGACACACAGGCTCTTTCCACGAGAAACACCAAAGGATCAGAACAAATGCTGCAGTGTGGGTTTGATCCCGGGAGGAACCAGAGAGTCACAGAATCTTGTAGCCCATCCGCACAGTTTCACTCTACCTCTGAAAACTCCTGGTCAATGGGCATCTAGCCTTTTGCTAAATATCTGTCTCAAGTGATGGGGAGCTCACTACCTCGCTGTGCACACCTACTTTTTGATAAATAGGAAGTGTCTACATTGAGCCAAAATCTGATTCCCTAGAGCTCAGCTCTAGAATCTCAGAGAATGTCCCCAGCCCTTGCTCCCTGATCTGTCAACCACCGGAGCTTTTGAAGGGAGAGCTGTGAAGTTCCTGATTTGTGCTCTATTTGGAGCAAACACACAGAGTTCTCCCAGCCTGGTTGCAGGCTGTCTCAGACCCTCACCTCCGGGCACGGTCCAGCCCTGCCAGCCCCTGGCCTGACAAACGGGAGATGAGTCACATTGATTTGCTGCTGAGGTGTTGATAAGTCTCTATCCTCCCCGGGGTGGGCTCCTTCCTCCCTTTTTACTACACTGGAGTGATTCCAGGCTGGACCCAACCCGAGAGGCTCCGCTCAGAGCAGCCGCGTGCCTCCAACATGTCACCTGCCGGTTAAGCGCCATCCCCACCGTCCTTCCCACCCCGGCACAAACCAAACCCTCCATCACCTATGCTTTTTAGGGGAAAGGGCACAGATTCTGAAGCCACCCAGACCTAACCTCAGGTCCTGTGTGGCCTTGGAAAAGTCATCTGACCTTTCTGAGCTTCGCTTCCACTCTCTGTGAGATGAAGGTGGTGTGGATCCTGGGTCTGGGGCCTGGCTGCTCATCAGAATCACAGCAGGTCTTTTAAAATACACCAGGGCCTGGGCCTCATTCACCTCAGACATTCTGATTCACTTGTTCTGGGGTGTGACTTGGATGTGGGAATCTTTTAAGTTGCCCAGGCTTTGGGGAACCACTATGTGGAAGATGCCCATGAGGCCATCAGCACTGACGTTCTGATTCTGCTTCCTCCCCTGGGCCTTGGGCCCCTGGGGCAATGCTCCTTTAGTGCTGGATGCTCACATTATGACAAGAGTCCCAGCCAAGGGTCTCTTGTAGGGGTTCCGACAGGCTGTTTTGTGCCACCCTGGTTCTGAAATGTGTACGTATGTGTGTGTGATCTCTCCAGCGTGTGGACTCAGGAATCCACGTGCCAACTGATTGAGACTAACATCAGGGACCAGGAGGAGCTGGAGGGCAAGAAGGTGGCCCAGTACCCGTGCCTGTGGGTCAACGTGTCCGCCGTGGGCCGCTGGGCGGTGCTGTACCACACGGAGGACACTTGGGATCAGAACCAGCAGGTACTAATGGGGGGGGTGGGAACATGTCCCCTGACCCATGGCAAGTGTGTGGGCCTGTCCCTAATTGGCTCCCTATCTCCTGTCTGGAGAGTGGACACTGAGAAAGATGAGCCCCTTGACCAGGGGCTGGAGCTGGCATGAGGCCCAGCCAGACCTAGCTCTTCTTTGCTGGAGTCACACAGACCTTGGTCTGAATCCCTGCTTTGCTACTAACTGGCTGTGACCCGGGGCGGCTGACTTAACCCTTCTGTGCCTCATTTTCCTCCTTTGCTGAATGCTCTTATGAAGTCAGAGACTGCACAGAATGTGCCAGGCTCCTCGTCGGGTGGATAGCGCGCTCTCATAAAGAAGTGAGTGAAGTGAGAGGCCAGGCCCAGAGCTGGCCCCACCGAGGGAAACCCCTGTGAATCCTCCAGCCCAGGAAGCCAGGGGTCCAGGACCGGAGCAAAGGCAACGCCCGGGATGTTTTCTCACCACTGCCTCCCAACATCCCTCCCGCCCCAACCCAGCACTGTGGCCCTCCCCGAGGGAAATGCCAGTTGGCCGGTGCTCATTTGCTCACCCGCTCGCTCTCTCACTCAGCAGCCACTGAGCACGTCCTGCGTCAGGGGCTGTGGGCTCAGGGGGAGAAGGTTCACTTGGAAACAATACCTGGTGGGGAGGGAGCGGTGCCTTAGAGAGGAATGGGGAAAGCTGTAGGATTAGGGAGGGAGGGATGTTTCCCAGCCAACAGTGAGGCAGGCAGGTGAGGGTATCGGGCATTTGGGTTAAGCTTTTAGATATCAGACACGTGGGGCACACATCCCGAGGGCAGGGCCCAGAGCAAGGCTGGGAGGGCGGGCTGGGGACACAGGGACTGATTCCAAGACCTGTGGAGACACTGACGCGTGATGGAATACAGAGGGGAAGGGCTGCAGGAGGGAGTGAAGGTGTGTTCCCAGGGGACCCCGACTCTACCAAAGTCTGGAATGAAAATGGGGTGTGTGTGTGTGTGTGTGTGTGTGTGTGTCTGTGTGCGGTTGTGCTTTGTTTTTTGAGAGGCAAAGCTTTAATGAAGAGAGCTACATGTTATACATATTAGTTCTCATATTTAAAAAAAATTATAGAAAACACTTTACTGAAATTGTTTTGCTTAAAAGACCGCTTTTAAGGATGCCCGAGAGAGAGCGCAAGTACAACACGGCAGAAGAGAAGGGGACATGGAATTCAGGCACAAGACACGAACAAGGCCCGCTTTCCACCTCACAAAGAATAGAGTTAGGCATTTATATTCAGTCAGGATTCTTGTTTAAGCTTAAGAAGTCCAGTAAGGGAGGGAATTGGGGGAAGGGCTAAGCTTATCTACAATCACCACTTTATCAAAACGCGCTGGTTCAGCCACATGACAAGTGGAGGTTGATCCTGCCTAAGGAGCAGGTGCCAGGGCAGTCGGGTCTCAGTGCCGATGCCACAGCCGGCTAAACAGTTTTAATTTTTTAATTTTAATTTTTATTCTTTGGTTACTCTCTCCCCCTCCACCCACCCACCCTCCTCCATCCCTCTGACATTCGTCAGTCTCATCTATGCTTCCATGACATTGAATCTATTCTGTTCATCAGTTTATTAAGTTCTTTAGATTCCACGTATAAGCGAAATCATGTGATATTTGTCTTTCGCTGCCTGGCTTATTTCACTTAGCATAATATTCTCCAGGTCCATCCATACTGTCCCAAAGGGTACGAGATTCTTCTTTACAGCTGCATAGTATTCCATAAACAGTTTTTAAAGAAACTCCGATCCCTCCTCAACCTGGGCTCACCACAGATGGAATCCCTTTGCATCTGCATCAGAAGGAACAAGTCTCCCCAAATAGTGCTCATGGAGCTGCTTTTCCTAGGGGGTGTGGGTTGTAAGTGACTCCTGACCCAGTCCACCATTTCTGAGGAGAAGGTTCCATTGATTACCGAGGACTTAAATGCAAGAAAACCCTAAAGAGGGGTAATATTGATGACATCATGGCACTGTGCAAGCTGTGTGCCTGTCACCTCTACCAGAGATTAGCGAACTATGGAATTAAAATGTGACCAGGCAAGCTGGAGCTCCTCAACCTTGGCTGCACTTGAGAACCCGCCCAGGGGACTTAACAAAACCAGGCTCCCACACCTGACCAACGGATGCAGAGTCTGGGCTTTCCAGGTGGTTCTAAGGTTGAGAATTACTGCTGTGAGCAACTTGGAGTCTTTACAGGGCTTGGAGTCCTGGGAGCATGATCAGAGAGGAGCAGGGGAATGTGCCGTCCAGTGACTGGGCAGAGGGGCAGGGCCACAGCAAACACCCAGGATGAAGATTGGACCTGAAGCAGGTGGATGCTGACAGTCAGACTTTGGTGGCTGATGGGATGGGAAGGGGCAGGGTGTCTGGGGGGACAGTGGGATCATTGACAGTGCTGGGGGTCATGAGGAAGTGGGTCTGGACAGTGCAAGGTGGCCTGACCTGTTCTGTTATCACTACAATGACTCAATCCCAGCAGATGGAGGAAGAGCCTCCACACCCTCTGAATCAGCTCCCACCAGGACCCCGCCTCTTCCTGGCATTCAGTGGCCCTGATTTATCCCAAGGAGGAAGCAGCACATTTTCAAAGACAGGCAGACCTGATCACTGGTGTCACAGGGATTAGGAGCAGGCTGGCTTGCAGGATGCCTCCCTGATGCTACAGTTGCCAGCTCAGAGGGACAAGAGGCCAGACTGTCTCCTGAGATGAGCTGTCAGCAGTATGTCTGGCCCTGGAGGGACAGCCCGGGCTGGCAGCCATCCGCTGTTCTATCTTCTCTCCCATGGTACCCAGGCATCACCAGGAGCAGTGCTAATGGGAGGCTGCTGTGCGGGTTGTGAGTGGAAGTACCTCCGTTGTTTTGCCACTCAGCTGGGTCAATGGGCTAGCTGCCTCCCTACTTTGTTCAGAGCTGGGGTGCAGGGGGCCAGTGCTGCAGGCCAGCTGGGTGTTGTGTGAAAGGCCCCTCTTTTTTAACTTAAAATTTTTATTTATTTATTTTTTAAATATGTTTGTATTGATTTCAGAGAGAGGCAGGGGGAGGGAGACAGAGATAGAAATATCAATGATGAGAGAGTCATTGATCAGCTGCCTCCTGCACGCTCCCTACTGGGGATCGAGCCCTCAACCCAGGCATGTGCCCTGACTGGGAATCGAACCATGACCTCCAGGTTCATGGGTCCACACTCAACCACTGAGCCACGCTGGCCAGGCAAGGCTCCACTTTAAGAAGGGAAAGAAGGAGCTAGTGTTGCAATATTGTAGTTAAGTCACAATATTATTTTTGTTAATAATAACAGCATCTCCCATTTATTGAGCATTTTCTATGTGCTAGGCGTCGTGCGAAGTGTTTATGTGCATCATCTCTTCTAATTCCCACAGCAACTAGACTACGCAGACACCCTCACATACCCATTTACAAGGCTCAGAGAAGTTATGGCACTTGCCAAGGTCACACAATTTGGAATTGGTAGTTGAACCCAGGCCTGCCTGGCTCCATAGCCACACCATTGCTCAGAGAGCTAGGTTACCCAAGATCACAGTCAGAAGCACTGGGGAGACTTGGTCTAGGCCGTCTCAGCTCAGGATTCTGAATCCACCTGCTACTGGGATCCTGCAGTGCCCAACAAATCCGAATGCCAGATTCCTCAGGAGTCAGCTTATCCCTGGCCTCCGTGGCTCCCTGGCTGGCTGGCTGGCTGGCGACCTACTTCTGGATGCAGCTCCCCCACTTCCCAGGCTGTGAGAGCTATGACGCAACCATCCTCGGTTCTGCTGGACTGAGCACGGTCAGGGCCGGCACCTTTGGGGGCAGGGTCTCTTTCAAATCCAGGGAGTAAGTGAGGCCTAGGGAGAAGCTGGCTGAGTAGTTCACACATTTTGATCTTGGACATAACTGCTCTAGTCCAGTGGCCTCAAACTTTTGAATATGAAGGAATCACCTGACTGCTGGGCCCCATCCTCAGTGATTCAGAGGGCCAGCCCTCCAAGTGGTCTGCTGGGGATGCTGGGGCAGGGACCACACTTGCAGAACACCTCCCACAGCTAGCACAGAGAGCACCCGAACCTGCGGGCACAGAACAAAGATAGAACCAGGGTTTCTGCTTTGCGCCTCCTCTGCAGAGCTCTTCAGCTGGACCTCATCTGACCAGGCCAGAGCTTCACAAGTCAGTGTGAAAATTAAATGTGTACCGTGTTCCATGTGCACAAAGCTCTTCTAGATGCACCCTCCCTTCCCTTTGCATCCCAGTGTCTACTATTGGCTGGCAGCATCTTTTGTTTGGTCCACACAGGGTTAGACCACAAAGGGTTTTCAATTTGGATTTTTGCCAATCTTTTTAGAATGTGAGAGTTCACATTAAATCTGGTTTTCTGGGTTCTCGTGAGATGTTGGAGGCCTGGCTACAGTAGGTCTTCTGGATCCCATGGTGTCCATTGTCCAGTGATGACTGCTGGGCTGGATGCGGCTGGCTGTCTCCATTTCACCTGGTCCCACCGCTCCCCTACAGTTCTCTCTGGCATGAAGGCAAGGTGGCACCTGCCATCTTATTCCCTCACCCATGTCACTCATGGGCATTCCCTGCATGAGCCCTGCAGGTAACTGAGCATGTGACCTCTGCCCTGAATCCAAAGCTGACACTGTCACTCACTGTCTCTCACTGGTCTCCTTAGACAGGTAAGTCTGAAGCCCTTCTTTAATAACACCCTTTGAAAAAGATACTGCTTTGAACCCATTTCAGAGATGAAGCTGTCAAGGCTCAGAGAGAGAGAGAGGATAAGTGAGTTGTCTAAAGTTCTACAGCAATGGAAGCAGAGCCAGGACTCCAGCCGGGCCCCTGCGTCCTGGTGTGTAGCACGTACCCTGAGCAGCACTCGGGCCACCCTGCTCACAAGAGACACTGTGAAGGGACCCTCTAGGAGCAGTGCCCAGAACGCCAACTTCAGGCAGTTCTGGCTCCCACCAGGGGCTGCCTCCAAAGCTGGTGTTTCTTACTCCTGCCCAGCCACAGTCTCCAGGCCCTGAGACACAGGGACTCCCAACCCCATGGGATCCCTCGCTTCTCCCCACAGTGCTCCTACATCCCAGGCAGCCTGGACAACTACCAGATGGCCCGGGCCGATGTGGAGAAAGTCAGAGACAATTTCCACAAGCACCAGGTGTTCTACTGCTTCTCGGCCACGCGCGAGAACGAGACCAGGGTCCTGTACCGGCGCCTCTACGGACCGCAGACCTTGCTCTTCTCTCTCTTCTGGCCGACCTTCCTGCTCACCGGGGGCCTCCTCATCATCGCCATGGTCAAGGTCAACCAGTCCCTCTCCATCCTGGCGGCCCAGAAGTAGACCCGTCTATGCCACAACACTGCTCAGGTCACAGGGGATTGGGGGGACCCTGGGCTGCACCCCATTCATGTATCCACGCCTCTTCCCACTACCTTCCCACTCCCCCTCCAATCCACCCTGTCCACTGCATGCATGGCTTTTGCTAAGCTCATCTCCAGAATGTACAGTGGCTCCCTAGTCCCTCGGACAGCACAGGCCAGCCAGTGACAGCTCTCCATTACCCGTCCCCACCCACTGACTCCACCCGCCACCCCACAGATGACAAAGTCTCACCTCCGCCTGTGTGCTCGCTGTGGACTCAAAGGCCTGCCCGTCCTGGCCGAGAAGCTGTGAATTTCATAACGAAACAGCGGCGCCAGTGTATAGAGCACAAGTAGAATACCTCCTGCTTTTAGGACACTAAGTGTCTTATTTCCTTTTATTCCAACATTAGCAAATATATTAAAATAATCAGACTATAAGGAAATACACTAAAATACATCAAAATACTAATAGTGGGATGGTGGTTAGTTTTATTTTTCTTCCTCATCAGCCTTTTTATTTTCGGTACTTTTCTACACGTTCAACAACAGGAAGGTTTGGTTTTGTGGTGTTTGTTTTTCATCAGAAAAGCAAGAATAGACGGCGTTTTGGGAAAAGTTTGAGAGGGTGAGCCCCGGTCACCAAGCAGGTGAAGGGGCGGAGACGGGGTTGGGCTCCCATCAGAGGAGGCTTCTGAGAAGGGGTGAGCTTAAGAGCCTCTGTGGAGGGGAGGTAGCCACACAGGTGGGGGTTTACACTGTGGGTAAGTACAGGGGCACTGACCCTGTTGGGGGACCCTCTGCAGCTGACAAAGGCAGAACTGGAGGCAGCCACCAGCTCTACCATTCCTACTCCAAGAGGCTTTCCGAGCGAGAGCAGCGGTCCTCAAAGTGCGGCCCCTGGACGAGCCGTGTCAGCATTCGGTGGAGACTGGGAGATGCGCATTCTCGGGCCCCCCAGCCCCACCCAGTCAGAACCCCAAGGGGGTGTGTGTGGTGGCACCGGGTGGGGTCAGAGCAGGGGCTGCAGGGGGCTCTGATATGTGCTCAAGCATGGGAACCAGGGCCCTGTGCTCGTGCTGCCGGGAATGGGTAAGTGACTCCTGGGCAGGGCAAGTCCTGAGCTGAATGCAAGGTCAGGCCGGTGTCCTTGAAGTTGCTGCTGGAGCTGGGATTCCAGACACAGCCCTGGGTGTGAGTCATGTCTCTGCCTCTGCCAGGTTTCACCTCTCTGATTCTCAGCTGCTTTGTCTATAAGAGACAGGCTCCTCCCTCTGGGTAACTGAGAGGGCTGAATTAGGAGCTGGCACATAGTAGGTGGCCAGGAAGGAGGCTATTGTTAATAACGATGGGTAATGAATACTCAGAAGCTTCCAGAAGAAATTATACCGACAACGTTAACCAGCATTTTAGGTGCTTGTTTGTTACATGCCAGGCACTGTGCTAAGCAGTGTGTCCTGGAAGAATTCAGTGAGGAGCTGCTGAATCCATCCTAGGAGAGGAGAAATGCAGGCAGGTGGTTATGTACGTGAACTTGCCACGTGGATGCCTGTGCTCAACCCTGCCATTCACTAGCTGGGTGACTTTGGGCAAATAACTTCGCCTCTCTGTACCTCGGTTTCCTCGTTTGCAAAGTGGGAACTAATAATATCTCCCTTTTAGGGCTGTTGGTATTAAATGAGGTATTATATAGTGCTCCTAGAATAGTGACCAACACATGGTAAGAGCTATGTAAGATATTATGGAAAACGAAGGCTCTAAGAGGTCACTGGCCACGGAGCAAGTGTTGCCATCCACACAGCAAGTGGGGAGCTGGAATTAGCCCCAAGCTCTCTGACTCCGGCACCTGGCCTCTCAAACACAGTGCTCAAGCAGACTCAGGTGAAGGGCCCAGGGATGAGCCCCTGAAGCCCCAGGGCGTAGGTATGGAACAGTGTTGCAACCCTGTGCATGTCAGGGGTCTGAGAAGCCGGTATCTAGAATCTGCATCAACACCTGCCACTTCCAGTCAGGGAGCACTGCCTCATCTCCACCCCCTCCAGGCTCATGTCTGGGGACACTCCTTCCCAGGGGAGGCAGCACACCATTCCCCAGGGTCTCTTCCTTCCAGGTCAGCGCAGTCTCGAGAGTCTTCCCCGTCTTTTAGGAAAGTCCCAATCGTGGTACCGCGTTATCTTTCTGCAGGATGTTGCCATTGGGGAAATTAGGCAAAGGGACCATAGGATCTCTTTGCATTATTTCTTACAACTGCATGTGAATCTACAATTATCTCAAAAATTTAAGTTTAATTTTAACAAATAAAAAACAGAAAGTACCCATCGTGAGTCTCATGCACAGGGCTCCTTTGCACATGGATCCAATGCACCTGCATTCGAGGCTAAAATACACAGAAACTCAGCATTTCCAAGCAGTCCCAGCACAAGAAAGGCCACATGCCTCTAGAAAATCTAGTGCGGAGATACCTGGACCCCACTGCCCCTTGTGGTATTAACCATAACCTTCATTCACTCGAGACCAATGCCCTCCTCCTGTGAACAGAGATTGGCCTGCTTCTACCCAATCCCACACCCGCCCGCTGCTCATGGGACTTCATGGGCAGGATGCGTGTGAAATAACAGGCATTTGAGTGTGATGGAGTTACACACTGAGGAAAAATGCTTCTGGTAATAATGACTGCCTGGGAGCACAGAGTTCTCAATAAACCACCCTGCTAATGAGTATCTCGTGCTTGCACTGTTTTGGCTTTTCTCTCGTGGCCAGTGGCTCACACCTGGAGAGGTGTACCTGGATCACGCTCCCGTGTCCCTCCCCCTGGGACTCAGACCATCTGGTGGAGGTCAGAGGCAAGGGGGTGGGGAGGGGCAGAGATGGCTAAGTCACTGGCTGCCCTCAAGGACCCTTCTTGCCACCCTCTCTCCCTGACTCCTCCCCACTATCACTAAGGTCTTCCTTCTTCACAATGAAGAAACTTCTCTATGCAAATTCAACACAGACCACATAAATTATTCAGAAAATTTTAATTCTTGTGACTTACTGAAATGATGCGCTCCTCTCCCCAAATCAACAATTCATCCAAAGTTTCTCCTAATTTCAAAACTCCCTGGGTGAGTGGACCATATACCACATTCATTGGCTAATTGGCAGTACAGGCCGGTGCACAAAAATATCCAGTGTCCTTTGGGTTAGTCTTGCATTTGGTACCTCGCTAGCCACTGTCCTTTCACGTGGAGGAACAAGAGAAAGAGCCAAACCAGACCAGAAAGACTCAGAGACATTCACTACAGTCCAGCATACAATTCTCAGCGTGGGGCCCTGCAAGGCCAAAACCCTTTCATCATAACGCTAAGTTGCTACCTGCCTTATTCACTCTCCTTTGCCCTCCAGCGTATGCAGCACGTTCTGTTCCAGACCTTATGTGACATGGGGTCTCTCAGCAGACTGCCTGCGGAAGCAGAGGTGAGAGCCCCGCTGCTTCCCAGTAAGCCAGACATTAAAGAGATTCGTAAAAACGGAAACAATACCACTTTTCTCAATAAAATTTAAAAACACACACACAATTATTTCTCATAAAAATGTTATTTTGTTAACATGTGATGAGCTTATTATTTTAAAATAAATGCACATACATGAAACATCCTTAGTTTTTACTTCTAAAATAATAAATATTAGTAGGTATAACCCATATAAACCAAATCTCTTTGGAGTTCTTAATATACTTTGGGATTGTAAAAGGAGCCCTGGCTGGGTGGCTCTGTCGGTTGGAGCATCGTCCTGTACAACGAGAGGTTGCGGGTGTGACCCCTGGTTGGGGCGAGTATGGGAGGCAGCTAATCAGTGTTTCTCTCACATCGATATTTCTCTCTGTCGCTCACTTTCTCCCCCCTTCCTCTCTCTCCAAAAATTAATGAAAACATATCATTGGGTGAGAATTTAAAAAAGAAGATTATATAAGGATTCTGAGACCAGAAAGTTTCAGAACTGCTGGCCCAGTGTATCCAGAGACAGGGTCCTCCTGCACGTGCCCTGCAGCCATCCAAAGACCACCCCTGGGTTTCCACGGGTCCCACAGGGCAGGGCCAGGAGGGGAGCCTCAGCTTCCCAACACCCCCGCTCCTGGCTCTCTCTCCCACAGACGGGTCAGCCTGTGGCTTCTCTTCCTCCCCCAGGGGCTTGCCCGGGTCTTCACCGGCCAGCTCGAGTACAGGGCTCAGCTTCCCCCTGGGCCTCCCCACTCTGCCTCCCACTCACACGACGCGCACTCACCGGCCAGCTCCCCGAAGGCCGGGGACGTGGGGCGGGCATGGGTGCAGGTGCGAAGCCAACCCC